TTAATGAAAAAAATAATTGAGTTGCGTTTTTTTTTTTTGGGCAGATTGATATGATTGACCTGATGTGGGGCAAGATAAGTACAAAAGAATTATGAATAGTACTTTAATACTTTATGGGAAAAAAAAGGCAATTTATAATGTGATGTTCGAATTATTGAGCCTGTGTCACACGCACATGATGCTAAAGATGAAATGAAAGCAATTAGTGGGTTGGAGAAATAAAGCTAAAGCAAAGAAAAAGATGGTCGTGATACGCATGAAATGTTAAATAAGTATTAACTGACCGACTAATTTACATGTTATTGACAAAGTGATAGTAATCATGAACTTGTTGGCCAAAAAAATATGGACTGGTCAGTCCATAATTTTAATTTCCCAGGTCACCACACGTAAATCGAACTCTTGTATGCTTAACGATGATTTGCTAAATGTTAATCCTCTTTTCCTATCTAGTGTCTCACGAGCACAACACATTATTAAATTTTAAAGATAAATGTACTATTTTACTTTTTATTTATTATTATACAAATTAAATTTCTTGAAAAGTGCAATTCCCAAGAGGGTTACTTCCCCTAATTCCCAGGATAATCGGGGTTAGATAAGGTCATAAATTTTAAGGGTAAAAATAGGAAAAAAACTAAAATATATACATTTAGTTTTTTAACTTTATAAAAAATTTTAGTTTATTCATTTAACTTTAAAAAGTACTATATTTTTTGTCATTTATACCAAAATCATTAACCTTAAATTATAATTTTTTTAACAATTATAATTATTTTTAAAATTAAATTTAATATGTTAGCATTTAAGAATGTTTTATTATCAATACTTGTGTCATCATTTTTGTTACTAGTTTTAGGGTTAAATGACTAAAAGTATGTTTTTTAAAGTTAAAGAGGTAAGCTGAAATTCTATACAAAATTAAAAAAATGTTGGTATTTCTTATGATTTTAGCTTGTTTTTGGCTGGTTTTTGGTATTTATATGTGAGATGCAGGTATTTATTCGAGGTACAAGACATGAGAAGGTCAAAGTAAAATTTGTGATCAGGTGACTACAGAGAACAATGCTGCGATGTTGTGGATTTTTGAAGCCAAGATTTTTCTATGAATTTTCAGAATATAATTAGACAGCAAATCTTTCACGCCTCAAATTTTACAATCATTAACATTATTTTCTTAAAAAAAAATATCGATAAATTTTATTGCATTAACGTATAATTTGACCTTTCAACTATTTTCAGGAATTATTGGTTTTTATTTGTAATTTTTATTTTTACATAATTCATGTTAGGTGGTTGTTTTCTTGTTGTATTGTTCGTGTTCTTACATTTAAATTGATTAACGTTATTTTCTCTCGCCCTTAATGTAGATATTAGACGAGTAATGTAGAGACTAAGAAAATTCAACAGCTGAGAATTAATTTAGTTAATTATTTGTGAAAAAAATGTGCATTTATTTTTCTAAAATATCATCCATAATAATTTACATTGAAATTGCTCCAATTAATAGAAACTCCTCCATTTAATATGTGTAGTTAACAATACTTGACAAGTAACTAATTATTTGTTTAAAGGAGTACTGATCCATATGGCTCCAAAGCCTCCCCAAAAAAAGAAAGAAGATGGAAGGGGAGTGAATTGGCCAACAAAACTAATTAAAGACAAAAGAAAAAGTTCATATATAGTGGGGAACATGAAATGTTGTTGGTGACTTAAACAGTAATTTACATTTTTTCCCAGAAGATATATGCTTGCACAAAACAAAACTTGTAGATGAGGACCTCATATTACTTGAAATACTTATATTCTTATATATGCATAGTACTATATGTTTAAAAAATAAACCATGCTAATCACGACTTATGAATAATGCAATTTATACCATGTTGATATTAGCGATGGTTAGATTGGGCTTTTTCTTTCCATTATTGAAGATTAACGTCATTGGCATGAACTGCAGATAGAGCGAATTTACAAGACAGGATCGGAATTTTTGAAGTGATATTTGATTTGACATGAAATGATGAAGGAGGACACATATATACAAAAGAAATTTTATATATATTGCACTTTGTGGAAGAGATAGTAAAGGTGCAGGCTTTGGCTAAAAGAAAGAAAGAAAAGGAAGGGGAGTGAGTTGTCGTTGTTAATTGTTAGTGAGAGATAAAGTACAAAAAGGAGAGAGTGTGAGGCATGAAGAAATATGTTAAAATTGTTATTGCTAGCTAGAAAGTATTTTTGACTGTATCTCTTTGTAATTTTTCAATTTATACCTTTTAAAATCCTTACTCATGGCAAATACTTAGATCTCATTTTGGCACAAAAAATAAAGGGGAAAAATGATGAGTACCTCCAGTTCTATGTATATGACCTTTTTGACTACTACATAGAAATTAACCAATTTAGTTAACCAATATTTTCACAAGTGGTTAGCAGAGTATAACCAATACATCAATGGCTCGTAAAAAGAGGTCAAATCCTTAAGTTTGACGTTTCTTGCTCATAGTTAGCACTATGTAGCTCCTATATATCACTTTTTTTTTTTTTTTTTTGTGAAGTAGCTCTCCTTTAAAACAAAGAAAAGACAACAAATACGGAACCTACATTGCGTACGCATATCATTGACCTAGTTTGGTTCATGGATTTTGCAAATTTCTCTCTCTCTTGATCCAAGCATGATCACTTCATAAGAAATGGGTACGTTAGAACAAAGAAAACAAACAATTTGACTACACAAAACAAATCTCTGGTGGGATTATGGATGATCATCAATTCAGAGAAACACCATGCATGCCTCTTACATTAAACAATGCTTACCTAGCAGATGGAGGTGAGTATGATCCAGATTGAGAATAATTTATTTCCAATGTAGTGCTTGAGATTGCACTGCTGCGTTCTGCACTTTCAACTGATGCTTCCATAGCCAAACATTGCTTCAAATCAATTACAAGAGAACTTATATCAGGTGTTTGGATTGCTGTTGGTGTAATGCAAGACATGGCTATTTCTAGAAACTTCCATGCTGAAGCGCTGCTGAATTTTCCTTCTAATCTTGGATCCACAATGGCTTGGATATCCCCATTCTCAAGCTTTGGATTTACCCAATCAGATATGTGACGTGTGCCGTCAGATGTTACGGTTATTGCTCGCTGGCCAGTCATTAGCTCAAGTAGAAGTATCCCAAAACTATAAACATCACTTCCTTTGTTCAAGTTTCCAGCTCTATGGAACCTGCAAATTTTGCAAGATCTATTACTGTTTGAAAATATTGATTAAGCTAAGCAGGCGGTTTATTTTTAACCATCAAAGCTAACTTTCAAGGCCGTGAGTATTACTCTAATTAAGTTGCAATTATATGTATTGCTAGATGGGTTTGAATGATGGGTACAAGATCGATCCTGATAAGCTATTCTATTATATTTTGCTGAAGTTAAGGAAAATAAAGCAAATTTATATTTTGGGCATCAACAAGGATTAGAAAATGAAAAAGGATAACAAGATTTATAAAACAACATACTCAGGATCAAGGTAGCCGAATGTGCCTGCTGGACGAGTTGAAATATGAGTATCAGTATCATTGGCAAATGCTTTAGATAATCCAAAATCAGCAATCTTGGCTTGCATGTTTTCACTTAGCAAGATGTTTGAAGATTTTAAGTCTCGGTGAATTATTGGTGGCTTAACACCATTATGAAGATAGTCCAATCCTACATTTCCATTAACCAATGGAAAAGTAAATACTTAAGCTATAACAAAAGTAGAGAATATAAATTAAACGACTAAGGGAAAATGAATCGCCAATGCAATGATGGGAAAGAAATAAGTAGTCTACAAACCACATGCTGTATCCAATGCAATTTGAAGCCTCTCATTCCACTTCAGAATATATGGGTTCTTATCTGCAAAACAATTGTCATGTGTCCCTCCAAACTAAGTAATTTTGTGATAGACGAGTCTTTAAACTTTGAAAACTGTTATGGAAAATCATAAAACAACTAGTCACTTAAACACATAAACCTAATATAGAGAGAGAAAGATGGAAAATTCTAGAGCTGACATTAAATTGTTCTTTAATCTTAAGAATTGAGCTTGGGAATTAAGACCTAACAAACCTGATAGTAAGTTCCGGAGATTTCTCTCTGCCATGTATTCATAAATCAGTGCTCTCAAGTCACCATCATCACAATGGCCAACTAGAGAAACAAGATTTTTATGATAAATAAAGGACAACAGTTTTGCCTGCATTCAATTTGAACCTTATCTTTATATATCATGATTGAATAAAATAATTTAGTAGTATAATATAATATTTCACTTCTAACCTCTGATTGAAACTCATTGAACCCTTGTAGTGATGACTTAGAAAGTAACTTGACCGCAACTTGTGTACCATCTTTTAGTCTTCCAAGGTACACCTTCCCAAATCCCCCTTCTCCAATTTCAGTTTCAAAGTCATTGGTAATACTATGAACTTCAGCTTGAGAAAATCCCTGATTCTTTGATTTAAGCTGATCATCTTTCTTGAACGAAAATATTACTGCAGCGATGTTCAATGAAATTTCAAAAGCATTATATCTCTGTGTACTTGAAAAATCAATATATAGAATATAATTAAAGAAAACTGGGGCAATTTATCACCTTTCTTACCACTGTGATGTTTTCTTTCATGTCTACAGAGCATCAAAGAAATGTAGACTATTGTTGCAAGAACTGCCACAGAAGCTATGGATGCAACAAGTGGTATTATGAACATTTTTGTATTGGTTTTGCATGAGCCTGTCTTACAGAGATCTGGATTTCCATCCAAACTGGGGAAAAATATATATCATCAAAATGCAATTGTCAGTTTTAACACATGAGGAAACAATTGATGATATAAGAGATGAAGACATGGAAAATGAAAGAAAAATGAGCCCAACAGTAACAGTGTTTCATTCTTTTGAATAGTCTTGCTGTAACAAAGAAGAGAAAAAACATTCGGTGCAGAGAATGCAACATACATCAAAGTTAAATCAGTAGTTGACTTCTTCCTCAAAGCCTTAGGAATTGAGCCTCTGAGATTATTCCCTGTCAAATTACTGATAATGCATCATGTGAGATAAATTGCCAAACTTTTTAAACAAGAAAAGAATATCGCCATGCTCAAGTGTTGCAACTCACAGCAGTTTCAAATTGGGTAGTTCTGCAATGGATTCTGGTATTTGTCCTGTTAATTGGTTGCTCGACAAATCCCTTCAATGTGAGACTCATTATAACCTTCACATTATAATTATTAAATGAGAGCCATGCCAAGCATATATGATACTTACAAGGCCTCCAACATCATAAGATTGGAGAATGAAGTTGCAATCTGTCCTGTTAAGTTGCTCGAGCTCATGTTCCTGTTTATAAATTTTTAACGTTAAAAATGTTGCCAAGAAAGACACAACCAAAGAATAAGAGAGATGGAAGTCAAAGCAAAGACAGACATTTTCTGTGCTACTTTGATAATATTACACACGAAAACAATCACACATGATTAAACAGCATGATGGTGAGGGGATACAAATTATATTATTTGGTGAAGTTCGATTTCCATGAAGATGATCATGCATTAGAACACTGAAAATTTAGAAAGATCAAAGGACAAATACTCACAAAGAAGTGACACTTGGAATGCTCTCAGAGTAATTGCAAGTCACACCTTCCCACCTGTACTCTTTTGGCATGCAGGGATCACCCTGCCAACTGGTTCTCATGATGTCATAAGCATGTTTGATGTTCCGCATAGCATCAACTGTGAAATAGAAGTAACCTTGTGATCTTTTAAATATATGATAGAACATTGATGAAAAACAAATTAGATATGATACGCCAACTTGAGAGAGCAGCCCAAAACGATGAGTGAAGTTAAAGTAAACACGGAAAGATAAGATAATAAAATAAATCAATCAGTATCCTATATACTTGCCATCTTGTTCACGAGTTGGGGTATTTGGTTCGGGCAGTGCTTTATAAATCTCATAAGCATTGATCATGGGGGGTAAGCCAGAACCCGGGGTCGATGTGATTGAGATATGATCAATAAGAACACCTTTTGGAATTCTCTTCACCAAGGTATAAACATCCTGGTATCTAAGAATTACAGACTCTCGGATTGCATCAGTGAAAGTGATTTCCATGCTTCTTACTTGACCCTTAGAATGCTCCTCGAAATCAAAGAAATGAAGGTAAACATAGTGTTCGCTATCTGCTGTAAAACCAATTGACGTCAAGTTGATATATATGGAAGCCGACTCATTTAGTGCTCGAACTGCAGTTCTTAACACTTCATCGGGTAGTTTGTACTCTTTTACATCACTGTTTATGGCTTCTGATGTGTAGAATCGCTCTGAGTTATTTATTTTTGCATTCAACCACGACCTACCATAGATATCGTCTGCATATCTGCATTGTTGTACGACCAGAAGACATTAATTAGTGAACTCTACTAGTTATTCTAGAGCAATTTAAATGAACACATGTCATCATTAGATACATACCTTATAAATTTAAGGTCTTCAGACATACCCAAGTTAACACATGTGAGGAGTCGTAATGGCAGCAAACTAGAGGTGGCTCTATATATAGAATTTGACAGAGGCCATAGTTCTAACAACGAAATAAAAGGTATGCCTTTACCAACGTTTACAAGACACACATCAATGTAGTTTGTTGGGGACATTTGAATGACTGTTCTTCGCCGAATTACATCAACAGTCTGTAACTTAATTTCTTCCAGGAAATTGACGCCAAGATATAAATAGAAGGATGGAATAGAGGTTTTGTTGTCATAGTTTCCATATGAAAAATAAGCCCTAATGAGATAGTTGTTGTGTTTGCCTTGCTTGGGTTGGAGTGTGTAGCAATTCCTTTTCCCTTCTGGAAAACTTCTTAGTGTTTTCATCTGTTCCCAAACTTGTTCTTGGCTATTATCAAGTGCGTCCTTATAGGATATATTATGTACTTCTCCAGATTCTACAACGTCTGCATTATCTGCCACGTGATGAAATCCATTTGTGTCCTCACTTTCTTGAGTTACCCCACAATCAATGCTTATCTCCCCTGATTAAATTGGGAAACAAACATGGAGGTTAATTATTATATAAGCATATTATAAAGTAAGAAAGTGGCGAGGCTTCAGGCCAAAAAAAAAAAGTGGCGTGACAAATAGATATGAATAATCAATATTAATGTCAAAAATAAAATTCATCAATACTGACTAATGAGTAGGAAATTAAAACATGTCTCGTTATTGTGTAATACTTCCCCCATTAGGTCATGAATAATCAAATCAAAAGGTTGATCAAATTTAGTTAAAAATAATAAATATATAAAAAATAATTTTTTTAAAAATATGTTTTTATTTATAGAGAAGGTGAACGAAAGAGAGAATAAATGAACAAAGAGACGAAGAAAAATGGGTAGAAAAATGATTTGAGAGAGATATATAATTAATTAAGAGTAAAAATAAAAAAAATTAAATTTCCAAAGAAATACAAAGTAAAACTTATAAAAAGCACCAAGCCTATCCCAAAAGTATAATTTATATAAAGGATGGGAGAGAATATATGACTATAGAACATAGTAAACATTAAGAAAAACAAATATTTTTGTTCTCAAAACAAAGCGCAATAATGATCAACAACCAAGTTACACTATTCAGTATTCAGGTCAAGTTTGGATGGTCCAAACATTTTATATGATTTTTTATTTAAATTTTCAGCATTTTTATATTTTAAAGAAGCAAAAAAAATGAAATACTCCCTTTGCTATCTAATATAAGTAATGGATGAGGTTAAGGACACAATTAAGAAATGGTTGTATTTGAGAAAAATTATATTCTCTATTTTGGCCCCAATAAAATATGTACTAGTAGTATAGATGGTAGCTGGGTAATAAGTCGATAGTTAAACGGGTTATATCCCGGGTGCTTTTGTAAACATGAAATTAAATATTCACTAAAGGTTGTGATATTGCTTATACTACATAGCAGAGGGAGTAAATTTTTAACTTCAGATATTAAAACGTATACCAATTAATAAAACAAATATTAATTTGGACCATGGAATGACTAAACAGTTTGGGTAATCATAATTTTTTAAAGGGAAAAAGCACATCCAACACCTTCAAATATTTTTTTCAGGTGCATATAATATCATAAAATATTTTGTAATGTATCAAGTATCCTGAAATATTTTTTCCATGCACATCCAAGACCCAAAAATATTTTTAGCACAATTTTACACTTAACAATTTTGGATGCCAAATACATCAAAAAATAATTTAGGGTGCTGGATGTATCTGAAAAAAATATATTTAAGAGTATTGGACACAATAGAATATAGTCTACAGTGCTGAATGTACCTAATTTTTTTTTTAAAAGTGTTAGATACACCACAAAATATTCTAAGACAATGAACACAACTGAAAAAAAAAAAATACTAGATGCAACTTAACCTCTCTTTAAAAACAAGATATCTTTTTCCATAATAAATCACGCTACTCATAAGTCATGATTGTAGAAAATTATCAGGTACTTAACTAATATATTTATTATACTTATTTTCGATTATCAAAATCATAATAGCAAGAGTCAGTTACATGACAAATAATTGGTAAACAAATTCACATGTTATGATTAGATTTTGAAAAAAAAAAAACAGAGAGCATATTATATATACAGGGTTTAGTATTTTATTTTTATGGGAAAATCACTATCATGTCCCAAGTAAAGAATTTATCACCTCTAGTCCTCAATATAAAATCTACTTTGTGGTATAATTTGCACTACAATTATATTACAAAGTCAATATTATATATTTAGAACCAGAGGTTGTAGTAATTAAAAAAGTCCCAATAAGAAGTAAATAATTTAGAATTTGTTGTTATTTTTTACTGTGTAACTTATGACTTTACTAGTTATGAGACTTTATAATTACTACTTCCGGTTCTAATTATAAGACCTCGTTTATACTTTACAAACGAGATCTTATAATTAGGAGCGGTAGTATAATTCTTCCCCGACCACACAGTAACCCCCGGCGAACAACTCGGGCACTGCATAAAAACGTATCTACTAATATAAACTTATAATACGTGGTGGTATCAACATTTGTGAAGACTCATTTATAAATTCCAGATTCAAATTCTTACAGACACACATACACACACTGAATAAATATATCGATGTTCTTACTGCCCGTATCAGTATCATCATCAGATGCAACAACTTGAGCTGACTTTGGAAGATCCATCATAGAAGGAACAGACGCAAGCAAAGCCACAATCCAAAGTACTGCGATCTTCATGGTTTCTCACAGAGAGAGAGAGAGAGAGAGAGAGATGAGGAGCATAGGTTGAGATGATTATTGTCTGTCGGGCAAAATTTACCACTGAATTAATTACCAGCCAACATGCAATAATTGGCAATTAATAATTAATAAATATTAGGAGTACTATCAAAAAGTGTCTATCAAGAAGACAAAAAAGGTTTATAAAATTATCACGGAGGATAAGTGCTGACTCAATCAAATTTGCCTTTTAGGACGACACTCTCAACAACCTTTTTGGTAGCCATTTGTAGCAAACTTTTTTTTCCAGGATGTTCATTCTTTTGAATATTTTTTTTCGTTTTACGTAGTTTAGAACTTAAATTTTCTCAGTAATATATGGTTATATATATAAAAATTAAATATGAAATTCACTTTTTGTTTATTTAAATATTATTCTTTTAATTTTAGATGTTAAAGTTGTTTTTGTTTTGAATAATTTTTAATTATTTAAACCATTTGAAGATACAAAACATTTTATTCTTCAATAAATAATTCATATCTATCTTTTTTTTGTATTTTTTCAAATTATATTATATGATTGACTTATTAATCTTTATAAATAATGAAGCTCCAATTGCTTCGCTTCCAAATTTTTCTTAACACAGATGGAGTTTTAAAAGTCATATAATAAGTGGTTTGAAGTCGTGACCCATGTGTCAAGAAAGTTAGTGCTGACTTAAAAAGTAATTTTCTTTTTTCCTGTAGTCTTTTAATTTTTTTATTACATAATCAGGTCTTGAAATTTTTCCCCCCCTTTTATCCGTGATTTGAAACTATGGTTCTCAATATAAGTCACTCGTGAGGAGAAGTTTTAGTCCTAAATATAAGTTATTTATAGTATATTTAATATTTGTTTTTTAATTTTATCTTTATTTAATTCTCATTAAAAAAAGGAAGAGATATGAGAATTATTTGTAAATATAGAAAAAAATGAAAGCTTTAATAAGGACAAAATTGAAATTTTTTTACAATTTAATACATTTCTTGATATACAAGAATGTGTTGCAAGTGACTTATATTAAGGACAAGAGTGATGTAGGGATCTGACTAAAAATTAGGTAAAACTATGGAGACTTGTAGATTAATTTTTTCAAGTTAAAGTTACCCAGACATATTTGTTCAAGTATTATATAGATAATGTAGCACGTTTATATATTTTATATTATATATCCATATATTAATGGTTGAATTAGACTTTTCTTTCCATTATTGAATGTTACTGTCATTGCCAAAAATTGCAGCTAGCGAATTGCATGACAAGGATGCTCCTAATTGAACTTTGTTTTAGGCATGTTAAAGTGATGTAAAGGGGAATTTGTATGTAAAAGAAACGATGAGGCAAAGTGGGCAAAGAAATAAAGAAAAAGAAAGCGGGGTGAGTTGGTGTTGTTGCTACAGTGAGAGGCAAAATAAAAGAAACAAAAAGAAATAATTAAGCCTTCCTTTTTCTATTAAAAAAATAGTTGGTTGTTTATGCGATTACGGTGGAATTAATTAACATAATTTGATCAATACAGCATTAAAAATTATTGCATGTGAACTTCAGAATATTGGATTGTTGTAGCAAGCATTTTGCATGTCTAGACGTACGCATCTCCTATAATCCCATGCCTTCCTTTAATTTCCACTTCAAAAACATTTTTCTCTGGCATACTTGAACATTAATTTCCTTCAATCGAGTCACTTAAAAATCAAGAAAATCAAGAGAACATGGGGGATTGATATTACAAAATCTCCTATAATCCCATGTTGGTCTTAATTGACTTGGGTTTTGTCCAAAAGAAGAAAAAGAAGACTAGGTTCAGTTTATGTAAATTTGCAAATTTCTTTATCTCTTGAACCAAACATGATCACTTTAGAAGAATTGTCAGAACAAAGCAAACAAACAAACAATCTGACCAAGCAAAACAAATCTCTGTGATGGGATTATGGATGATCAATTCAAAGAAAGACCATGCATTTCTCTGCCAGCAATGCTACCTAGCAGATGGAGGTGAGTATGATCCAGACTGAGAATAACTTGTTTCCAATGTAGTGCTTGAGATTAAGCTGCTGCTTTCTGCACTTTCAACAGATGCTTCCATAGCCAAACATTGCTTCAGATCAATCACAACAGAACTTATATCAGGTCTTTGGATTGCTGTTGGTGTAATGCAAGACATGGCTATTTCTAGAAACTTCCATGCTGAAGCACTGCTGAATTTTCCTTCTAATCTTGGATCCACAATGGCTTGGATATCCCCATTCTCAAGCTTTGGATTTACCCAATCAGATATGTGACGTGTGCTGTCAGATGTTACGGTTACTGCTCGCTGGCCAGTCATTAGCTCAAGTAGAAGTATCCCAAAACTATAAACATCACTTCTTTTATTCAAGTTTCCAGTTCTATGGAACCTGCAAATTTTGCAAGATCTATTACTGTTTGAATATATTGATTAAGCTAAGCAGGTGTTTTATTTTTAATTACCAAATCTAAATTTCAAGGCCGTGGATATTACTCTAAGTTGCAATTATATGCATTGCTAGATGGCTTTGAAAGATGAGTACAAGATGCTGATAAACTAGTCTATTATATTTTGTTGAAGTTGAGGAAAATGGGTTAAATTTATATTTTGGGCACAACAAGAATTAGAAAGGAAAAAGGATAACAAAATTTATCATATAACAACATACTCAGGATCGAGGTAACCAAATGTGCCTGCTGGGCGAGTTGAAATGTGAGTGTCAGTATCATTAGCAAAAGCTTTAGATAATCCAAAATCAGCAATCTTGGCGTGCATGTTTTCACTTAGCAAGATGTTTGAAGATTTCAAGTCTCTATGAATTATTGGTGGCTTGCAACCATTATGGAGATAGTCCAATCCTGCATTTCCATTAACCAATAATAAAGTGAATACTTAAGCTATATATAAGAAAAGTAAAGAATATAAAATAAAAGACTAAGGTAAATGAACTGCCAATGCAATGATGGGAAAGAAATAAGTAGTCTACAAACCACATGCTGCATCCAACGCAATTTGAAGTCTCTCATTCCACTTCAAAATATCTGGGTTCTTATCTGCAAAGCAATTATCATGCACATCTCAAAACTAAGTAATTCTGTGAGTGAGTGAAAGAGAGAGGTGGGGGTTATAGAACTGACATTAAATTATTATTTAATCATAAGAGTTAAGCTTGGGAATTAAGACTTAACAAACCTGACAGTAGGTTCCGGAGATTTCCCTTTGCCATGTATTCATAAATCAGTGCTCTCAAGTCACCATCATCACAAAAGCCAATGAGAGAAACAAGATTTTTATGATAAATAAGGGACAACAGTTTTGCCTGCATTAATTTTGAATCGTATCTTTATATGCCATGATTGAATAAAGTAATTTAGTAGGGTAATATAATATAAAAGAAATGAATGAAAATAAAATATATTTAATTAATAATTTTTTACTTCTAACCTCTGATTGAAACTCATTGAACCCTTGCTGTGATGACTTAGAAAGTAACTTGACTGCAACTTGTGTACCATCTTTTAGTCTTCCAAGATACACCTTCCCAAATCCCCCTTCTCCAATTTCAGTTTCAAAGTCATTGGTAATACTACGAACTTCAGCTTGAGAAAATCCTTGATTCTTTGATTTAAGCTGACCTTCTTTCTTAGACGCCAATACTGCTGCAGCAATGTACAATGAAATTTCAAAAGCATTATATCTGTGTGTACTTGAAAAATCAATATAAAGAATATAACTAAAGAACTGTGGGGCACTTTATCACCTTTCTTACCACTATGATGTCTTCTTTTATTTTTGTAAAGCATCAAAGAAATGTAGAATATTATTGCAAGAACTGCCACAGAAACTACGGATGCAACAAGTGGTTTTATGAACTTCTTTGCATTGCTTTTGCAAGAGCCTCTCTGACAGAGACCTGGGTTTCCATCCAAACTAAGAAAAAAATATCATCAATATGCAAGTGTCAGTTTTAATGTATAAGTAAACAATTGATGATCTGTATATACCTTCTTTTTTTTTTTTCAGTAGGGGACAATCACATAAAAAGAAAACACACGCACCCACCAAACCTACGCACTAGAATTTGAACTTGCAACCTCCCTGTAATTACAGGAAGTGTAAAGGTGCCATGTTGGTAATAAACTTCTAAGAGTTTTTGTTGAACATAAACATACATCAAAGTTAAACCAGTAGTTGACTTCTCCCTCAGAGCCTCGGGAATTGAGCCTTGGAGATTATTCCCTGTCAAATTACTGAGAACGCATCATGTGAGATAAATTGCAAAACTTGTTAGTTAGACAAGAAAAGAGTATTGCTATGCTCAAGTGTTGCAACTCACAGAAGTTTCAAATTGGGTAGTCCTGCTAAAGATTCTGGTATTTGTCCTGTTAATTTGTTGCTCGACAAATCCCTTCAATGTGAGACTCATTATTACCATCTCATATAATTATTGTTAAATGAGAGCCGTGCCTTGCATAGATGATACTTACAAGGCCTCCAACGTCATGAGATTGGAGAATGAAGTTACAATCTGTCCTGTCAATTTGCTTGAGCTCATATTCCTGTTTACAAATTGGTAACAATAATAATGTTGCCAAGAAAAACACAAAGCAAAGAATGAGAGAGATTGAGGTCAAACAGTACAGACACTTTCTGTATTGCTTAAATAATATCACACAAACACACACACTCACTCACTCACTCACTCACACAAAAACACAAATACGATTAAACAGCATGAGAAACAGGGGATATATACTCTTGAACGAGGATATACGTTATAGCTATTTGGTAAAGTACATTTTATCTGAAGATGATCATGCATTAGAATTCTGAAACATAAGAAAGATCAAGAGACAATTACTCACAAAGAAGTGACCCGTGGAATGCTCTCAGAGTAATTGCAAGTCACCCCTTCCCATCTGTACTCTTTTGGCATGCAGGGGTCACCTTGCCAACTGATCCTCATGATGTTATAGGCATGTTTGATGTCCCGCATAGCATCAACTGTTAAATGGAAGCAACCTTGTGATCTTTCAGATATAAGAAAATTGTTGAGCAATAGATTTTGGCTTTGATTGATAATAAAATAAATCAATCAGTATACTATATGCTTGCCATCTTGTTCATGAGTTGGGGTATTTGGTTGGGGTAGTGTTCTATAAATCTCGTAAGCATTGATCATCGGGGGTAAACCAGAACCTGGGGTCGATGTGATTGAAATACTATTTAATTTAACCCCTTTTGGAATTCTCTTAACCAAGGTATAGACATCCTGGTATTTAAGAGTTACTTGCACTCGGATTGCATCAGTAAAAGTAATTTCCATGCTTCTTACTTGACCCTTAGAATGCTCCTCGAAATCAAAAAAATGAAGGTAAACATAATGTTCGCTATCTGCTGTAAAATTAATGGTGGTCAAGTTGATATATAAGGAAGTTGAATCATTCAGTGCTCGGACTGCAGCTCTTAACACTTCATTTGGTAGTCTATACTCTTTTACATCACTGTTAATTGCTTCTGATGTGGAGAATTTCTCTGAGTTATTCAACTTTCCATTCAACCAGGATCTACCATAGATATCATCTGCATATCTGCATTATTGCGTAAGGGAAAGACATTAATGAAGAGAACTCTACTTATTCAAGAACAATTTAAATGAACATATGTCATGAGAGGCATACCTGATAAATTTAAGGTTTTCAGACATACCCAAGTTAACGCATGTCATGAGGCCTAATGGCAGCAAACTAGAGGTGGCTCTATATATAGAATTTGACAGAGGCCATAGTTCTAACAAGGAAATAAAAGGTATCCCTCTACCAACGTTTACAAGACAGACATCAATGTAGTTTGTTGGGGACAGTTGAACGACTGTTTTTCGTCGAATTGCATTGACGTTTTCAAACTTAATTTCTGCCCAGAAATTGACACCAAGATGTAAATGGAAGTATGGAATAGAGTTTTTGTTGTCATAGTTTCCATATGACATGTAAGCCCTGATGAGATAGTTGTTGCGTTTGCCTTGCCTGGGTTTGAGTGTGTAACAATTCCTTTTGCCTTCTGGGAAACTTCTCAGTGTTTTCATCTGCTCCCAAACTTGTTCTTGGCTATTATCAAATGTGTCCTTTGAAGATATATTATATATTTTTCCAGATTCTACAAACTCTGCATTATCTGCATCATGATGAAATCCATTTGTGTCCTGACTTTCTTGAGTTACTCCACAATCGATGCTTATCTCCCCTAATCAAATTGGGAAACAAACGTGGATGTTAAATTAGCAGGAAGTGCCCAGGCAAATACATATGAATAATCAATATTAATGTAAAAAAATGAAATTCATTAATACTGACTCATGGTTCAAATTTCATGCAATGAGTTAGGATATTAAAACATGTCTAATTATATTGTATAATATATATAGTTATACACTACTCAGAAAAACAAATGTTTTTCTTCTCAATACGAAGTGCAACAATGATCAACAACCAATTTACACTATTCAGGTGAAGTTTGGATAGTCCAGACATTTTTTATATACGATTTTTTTATTTAAATTTTCAGCATTTTTTATATTTTAAAAGGAAAAAAGCATAAAATATTCCCTTCGGTACTTAATATTACCTTCAATCCTTAATAGAAGAGCTAGTTTGACTTCCAATTTGCTCGTCAATATAAGATCCCAATCCACTGTCTCTTTTTTTTCCCCAAGGTAGTCTTTATAGTAGTTGTACAAGTTAAAAGTTTCATCGAATAGTAGTTTTAACTAATATACTTGATTAGTAAGGATATTTAAGAAAGACAACATATTATATTACAAATAACTAACTTAACTAATTTTCTTAATCAATTTAAATTAGTCAACTAACTTTTATATTAAAGATCAGAGTATAATGGAACGCGCAGAGTGCATGATTAAGTAATGGTTGGTTTTGGGGAAAAAAAGCTAGTCTATTTTACTCTCATTAAGCGAATGTAGCATGCAACAAATTTCCACCACTATTGACCAAGTTTTTATTCAAGAATTCCATACTCAAACCGTTCCTCATTCTCTGACTTACGTAGAAACCCAGTAAGAGACGTCGGAGAAGCGAAATACCATACGAAATAGGATAGCTAAATCTGTAAATATTAAAATGTCCAATAATTACAAGGGAAAATCCCAAAAAAAACCATCAGAATAGAAAAATTACAAATAGGGACTCATTACAATAATTTTTTTTTCGGCCAAAAGACTCATTACAACATTAGTATTGGTCTTGAGTCTTGACAATAATAGTATGAGTTTTGACAATAATTTTTTTGAACGGATCCCTATACGTAATTTTTCAATTTTTAGGATTTTTTTTGTGATTTTTTCTAATTACAAGTACAAATATTAAAATTAAAATATAAAACTTGGACAATAAACTAACCAGGCAATTTGGGTACTCACAATTTTTTAAAAACTAGATGTATTTCTCCACAATAATTCACAGCACTCACAAGTCATATGAATTATGTGTACATAGTATAATTTGCCATAAGTACTTCACTAGTATATTTATTTTCAATTAAATTAAAATAAGTGAATGTTAAATTTAAGTAGAAATTAAAAATCATAATAACCTGACTTAATTCTTAGTCACATGACAAATAATTAATATAAAAAATTCAGATGCTAAGATTTGATTGGGAAAAAAAAGATTATATATGCAATTCTAAGTGTCTTAACTCTATCCTATCCATCTGACACCTCATCGAATGCATAAAAAACACATCTACTAATAAAAACTTAAGATCAAGGCCAAAAAATATAAATTTAAAATATATATATGTATAAATATAAGATATCAACGTTTTGGAAGACTTAATTAAAATTTAGTCAAAATATAAATAATTTTTCATATATTAAATTACACCAACTTAAGATGCTGGTTTGAAAATCATGGTCTACGATAACTCTCACACGCTTTCTGAAATGGGGAAAAAAAATGCAACTGGTGTTAAAAGTTAAACAAAGAAATACTCTTGATGAAGGAGGATAATCTTGTATTGTTTTATTTTGTTTAGTAAGAGTTCAGTTTTCACTAAAAAAAAAAAAAGTAAAACACAATAATAATCATACGAGTTCTGGGACTACAGGCATCTAAAATTCCAGTTCGAATTCTTATATGTATTATAAAACACCCACACACACAAACACAGATTAAATCAAAGTTCTTACTGTCTGTATCAATATCATCATCAGATGCAACAACTTGTGCTGATTTTGGAAGGTCGATGATGGAAGAGACAGATACAAGCAAAGCCACAATCCATAGTGCTGCCATCTTCATGGTTTACACAGAGAGAGAGACAGAGGTGAGGAGCACGATGAGTTGAGAGCATTATCAGTTGGGAAAAATTAAGCACTGATCATTATTATGAAAAAAAGTAAGTGCGGATCAAGAACGGAAAAAAAGAAGACTTGGAAAATTATCACCGATTACATTTACACATCGAATCAGAAGACGACATCTCACATTATTGCATCTACTCCAAAGAAAATAAATGTTGACTCAATCACATTTCTTTTTTCAGACAATACTCTTATCAAGCTTTTTTGGGGGACCATTCCTAACAAACTATTTTTTGTCGTTAATTAGTTTTATGTAGTTTAGCAAATAAATTTTTGTAGTTTAGCAAATGAATTTTTCATTAATTATAAAAAACTAAATATGAAATTTACTTTGTATTTATTTAACTATTAATATCTCGATTTTATAGATGCTAAGATTAGTGCTCCCTTCAATCTTAAATATAAGACTCATTTTGTAGTGTAATTTGCACTACAAAATGGGTCTTATATTTAGTATCAGAGGAGTACTATTTTATTATTTAAGCCATTTTGTGTAAGGTTGCTTTTTTGTTGTGTTTAAGCTTATTTTGTGTAGCTTGTTGTTTTTTAATCCAGCATAATGATAGCAAAAAAGTTTATTTTTCTTTTTGAAAAAAATTCCGAATTGCTGGATAATTATAAGCTGTAAGTATCACAAAAACGTAACATCTCATATTTCACATCAGAGATATTCTGCAATCTATTATTTATTTAAGTTATTTAGTATGTGAAATAATTGAGCTTCTTTTTGGGCCAGATTAATAATTGAGCTGATGTGGAATATTTATAAAAGAAATTATACTTTATGGGAAAGCTAAGAAATGTGTTATGCTAGAATGAGTTTCCACTCACACTTTGCCAAAAAGAAGAAATGAAAGGAACCGTGTGGAGTGGGTAGGTGAAATAAAGCAAAAGAAAAGAAAAGAAGAAAAGATATAGTCATGAGAAGCACGAAATGTTAAACAGTAACACTTGTCTCCCTATAAGTAGGAGATGGCATGCTTGATTTCGTTGTTATGAATCATACAATAATTGGGTGGGTTTTCTTAAAGGAACCACCTTATAAAGCTTTGGGTTCCTCAACTCTACAACTGGCTTTTCAGGTGTGTAGTTCTCCTGTAAATTTGTGCTTTTTATAACGGTGTTTCACTAAGAGCCGATTAGCCAGACAAGGGCTACCTGTTGAGTGTGGTTTTTAAAAAAACTTAAGCTTCTTATAGTCGTTCGGACCATTAGTCTTTGTTTCCTTATATAGGAAAAAAAAACATTACTCCTCTGATCCTATTTACAAGACAAAGAAGGTTTTTATTGATTTTATTTATAAGTAATTTTATTAAATTTTTGACATGAGTATACTATTTTGTTCTTTAATTATTATAGTATGGACAGTTATTTCTTAAACAGTGCATGTATCATTTGACTGAGTCATGGAGACATAGACATATAAAATGAAGCAATGATTCTTTGGGATATGATCATGCGTAGTTTTGGTATTAATTATGGACTGATATGCAGTCGGATCGATCGGGCTCATTTTCCCTGGGCCCATATAATACGAACTGTTGTATGCTTACCGATTACGATGATCTATTATTTAATTATTTGTAGGCCCAAATATTATATATCTCAAGAATTATTATCTTTTATAAAATATTTTATCTAAAATATTTTGTTTTTCCAATTAAGTTGTTGGAAGATAATCTCACTTTTGCTTGGGACTGTATGCTTATATAACTCTTAAAATTGTAGTAGACAATGATGCTTGAATCTCAAATTCAGATTCGGATACCCCATCCGCTCCTTATTATTAAGGAAACTAATTAAATTGCATTAATTAAGTCGTCACAAATTTATATAATTCTCCAAAATTATCCTTTGTAAAATTAAAAAAAATGAAATTAGCTTTTCTGCATATTTGCAGTAAATTAATAGATTTTGTATTTTATTTGGAAGAGAATTTCATGGCAAATTCTACCATAATATTTGTTTTTGGTTTGTTATAATGACGTTCCAAATAAACACAGCAAGGGAAATATTTTAGGGAGAATTGAAACAAGGTCTCAAAAAAAAACATATTTACAAAAAAAAATTTATAATAACTGAACGGCTTATAATGACAAGTTACAAAATAGAAAATAATAACAGATTTGCTCATTTATCATTGAAACATTTTAGTAATTATATATATATTTTAGGATCTCGCAGTAATTCTACCAATTTTTATGGCTTACTATGAAATTTGCCTCTTACACTAATTCCAACTCATTGGCTAAAAGATAGAAAGTATCTTTGGCTGTATCTCGCTCAATGTACCCCTTCTAAAAATTATATATTGAATATAAAATCGTAATCTTGCTGAACAAAATGATGGTCGAGAATCAAAATATAAATACTGAATATCATTTCAACACAGCTAAAACCTTCTCTGTTTTTCCCTCGTCATCAGACCCAATATTATTACTTCAGATGAAGATAGAATCTCCTTACTTGCTAAGGGAATTCTTCTTAGTTAGTTATAAATTTCAAAGTCTCGTACTTTATATTGTCCCCAGTTATACATTACTACGTGAACATAACCAGATCAATAAATTCTACTGTATCACCATTCACCAAGAAAAAGCCAACAAGCTTTGAAACTCATTTTACATATCTGCTTTTTTATTCAACAAATATCCACATAACATACCAATTTACCAAAATAATAATAATAATAATAAGATTCTTCCTCTACCTTGTAATAAGGAGTGCATGCCATGGCAGTCTTTATAGCTTTCTGCCCAGAGTGTGTGCTGAGGTTTCTGGGTAACATAGGATTCATTAATGTTCTGGTTATCTCCCTCTCAATCATGTGAATACAATTATCAAGACTATTTATTACTGCTAGCTTCCAAGTAAAATTACCCCAAACAAAACCATCAACCCTATAGATGTGGCTCTTCTTTGATATACCAGAACCACAGAGAATATCATCATCAAATAATAACACGAAAACCAAAATCAAGAGTTCTTGCAGTAGTGACTTCTTTCTCTATCCATTTAAGAGCTTCCACACTATAGAAAGCTTCAAAGTGTTCTTACACAGACGTTATCAATTACATGAACATTAATGACATTCATATTTGTATGATTGATATGTGAACATTAAGGTTTAAAAATCTAATGAAAGGTTATGGAGGCCCAAAGGATAAATAAATCTAAGATAAAAAACTTCAGAACAAACTTTATATATAAATATAATGATTAAAAGTTGCCTGAGACGATTGAGAAACAGATCCAGTGCTTACCTGAATCATAACTATCTGCAATTACTAGTGCTGAGTTGCCAAGAACAATGATGAACGAAATGAACTGATCTAAACCCGGAATTCATTGCGATGCCCTCTTCATGTTTCAGAAGAAGGGAAAAAGAAACCGAAATGAACTTTATATGTAATGTCGGATGTTTTCATGTCTCCGTCAACTAGAGGTGGATTACTACCATTATTTAGGTATAGAGTTCAATTCACTAAATCCATAATGGAGAAAGAAAATTGAATGACGAACAAACTGATATATGAGGGCCTTGTTTCCACTTGAAGACATACATGAGTTTTTCACCGAATAGAAAAGGGAACAAAACAAATCTCTTGAACATAGAGCGATAATACCATGGACAAACAGGCTTATTGGAAATATATAGCAAAGAAAAGGATTTCTAGGCTGAACAAAACAAGTCTCTCCGCTTGGCTCTGCAAATAATCCTAGCCAGAACACGGAGCTGAGTTTGATTCAACTGAAAAATAGGTGGTAGTCAATGCAGAGCCAGAAATTGCACTGTTACTTTCCGCACTTTCAAGGGACATTTCCAAGTCCAGACATTCCCTTAAAACAGCTTCTACGTCTTTTATATCAGGCCTTTCAATAGCTCGTCCAATGCAAGATATGGCTATGTCTAAAAATTTCTCTACAGAAGCAGCATTGAATTGTCCCTCTAATCTTGGATCCATAATGGATTGGCTGTCCTTACTTCTCATCTTTGGAGCTACCCATTCCGATATGTGCTTTTTGCTGCCATCAGGTGCTTCTATTACCGCGGGCCGACCGCTTATAACTTCAAGTAAAATTACTCCAAAACTATAAACATCGCTTCTCTTGTTCAGATTTCTACTGGTATTGATTCTGTAAAGAATTTGCATTTTCATGGATTTGGCCAAGAAAAAAAGTGATGCTAAATCTGTTTAAATGATGAACGTACCATTTTCAAGTTATTCTGCTAAATTTTGTTAAAAGTGGAGCTATATAGATGTTCACTGCTAGAGAAATTTCACTAAATTTTGTTTCGATTTTCAGCATTGTGGAATCTATAAATTCTGCATGATTAATTAGCCATATAAAGAAAATTAAGCTAAGCAAATATGATATTTTAGTCGCAATCGCTGCTACGTTATCATTCGTGGATTATTTTGAGTTGCACTTTTATACATGTGTGTGTGATTCTAGATGTGTTAAAAATGATATATTTACAGTTATTATACTTTTCTAAAGTTCTCAGGTAAACAGAGCAGATTTGTATCAATGAATTGCTCAAAAGTAAGTTAAAGAGTTTTCACGTCAAGAACTGGTAAGAGAAGTTTAAAAATTAGAAGGAAAAAAAACGTACTCAGGATCAAGATAACCAAAAGTGCCAGCGGGACAAGTTGAATATGGAATGCTAGTATCATCAGGAAAAGCTCTCGACAATCCAAAGTCACCAATCTTAGCTCGCATGCGTGTGCTTAGCAAGATGTTGGAAGGTTTTAGATCTCTATGAATTATGGTTTGCGAACAACCATTGTGGAGATAGTTCAATCCTGCATTTTTATTGAACAACAAGATAATTTCAAAAGTTATAATAAAGGGAGAAAATCGCTAAAAGTAACAATGAAAAGAATAAAAGCAAATATGGATTGACAATTTCAAAGAAAGGAAAAGACTATTATTTTACACACCACATGCTGCGTCCAATGCTATTTGAAGTCTCTCATTCCATTTCAAAGGACATGGGTTCTTATCTGCAAAATATTTGGTTGTGCATAGAAAAATGTCATGTAATACCCCCACAAACTAAATGATGATCTATGACTTAGTTGCCATCCTTTCTTTTGTTTTTTTCCCTTTTTATTTTTAAAAAGTTGTCATAATTTGAGAAATATGCCAAATTAAAGTTCATAGAAGAATTTCTATCTAATAAATTAGAAATTCAGCTCTCTCTCTCTTTCTCTCTACATGCATATATAGTGGCATTATGGAATGGATAAAGCTCTAATACTTAACGAACCTGATAATTTTTTTTGGAGATTTCCTTCAGCCATGTATTCATAAACTAGAGCTTTCATGTCATCATCATCACAATAGCCAACAAGAGAAACCAAGTTCCTGTGATGAACAACCATCAAATGTTGTGCCTGCATTAATTTTGAACTTCAGCTCTATTATCACTAAACAAATCAATGTGTTGGATTTCAATACTAAAAAATAATTAATGATTTTTGCCCCCAACCTCATGATGAAATTCCTTATATCCTTGTTGCGATGACTCTGAGAGGATCTTGATTGCAACTTGCTCACCATCGAGTTCGCCCAGGTACACTTTTCCAAACCCCCCCTTTCCAATTTCTTCTTGAAAGTTATTGGTAATGCTACGAACTTCCCAGCCATTAAACACACGACTTTTGGATTTTAGAATTAGAAAATTCCCGTATCTTCCAATCGAAGAAATCCTCTCTACAATAATGAAAAGTGAAATTCCAATTGCATCATATATTAGTAGTTGAACTTCAATTCTTGTAGAAATAAACATACACTATAATTAGCACTTCATAACCTTTCAACTTTAACAGTTCTCCACTTGATTATAGTCAATCAATTTAAGAGTACTCGGTCAGGTTTTTTTTCCAAGGAGCTTTTAACCATTTGTAATAATTAGTAAAGGTAATTATTCTAGTTAAAAACAATAAATTTATCAATAATTTATACTATTTTGTCAAAAATTCTCTTCAATATAATTAACGTGAAAACAACTCCATTAAGTAACTTTGTGGATATTTAATAAAGGAGCGTTTTTGTCAAATAATAATAAACATGGTAGGTAATTGAGAAAATGGTCTTATAAAAAACCCAAACGTGAAAAGAAAAAAAGAGAGACTCCTATATATTCAGAAATGGAGGGACTTTCTTACAAATTGAATCCTCCTCTTATCCTATTTATAGAGAAGAGAGAGAAGAAAGTTTTTGGTCCTATTTATAACAGAGAGAGAGAGAGAGATATTTTTCATGTAAGTATACAATTTTTTCTCTATTTATTATTATGTTAACTTTGTTTTCATAGTGTATAATGTATATTAAAAAGATATAAAATTAGAAAGTTGTTAAATTTTAAATAAGAGTTAATAAAATTTAAGATTTTTCTTTATAAACATGGTAGGTAATTGAGAAAATAGTCTTATAAAAAACCCAAAGGTGAAAAAAAAAGACTCCTATATATTCAGAAATGGAGGGACTTTCTTACAAATTGAATCCTCCTCTGGTTCTATTTATAGAGCAGAGAGAGAAAAAAGTTTTTTGTCCTATTTATAAGGGAGAGAGAGAGAAATTTTTCATGTAATTACACAATTTTTTCTCTATTTATTATTATGTTGACTTTGTTTTCATAGTGTATAATGTATATTAAAAGATATAAAGTTAGAAAGTTGTTAGATTTAATGAAGTTTAAGGTTTTTCTTAGTCTGTGTAAAACATGTTAGAAGTGACTTATAAATAGATTTAAAGATGCAGTGAGAATTAATCTAACGCAACAAGTAAATTAAAGCACAAACTTGGCAAACAATAAATGCTTTTTAAAGATTCATAAAGGGAAAATGGATATAAAGAAAAGTGAGGATGTGATCTTACCAACGATACTGTGTCTTTGTCTGCAAAACTTCACGGCAATGCAGACTACTATTACAAGGACTGCTACAGAAGCTACTGCTAATGTAGTGAGTAGTATGATGCGCTTCTTTGTTTTGGTTCCGCAAGCACCTATGTGACAGAGACTTGGATTTCCACCCAAACTAGGGTGATAAAAGCACCAGTACATATATAACTCTCAGTCATTTGATAGAACGTAACATTATCCGTATATTATTCAACTAGCATATGACACTAATTAACGCTGTTAATAATATCTTAAATCAAGACAAGTATTATTATACATATTTGAAACTAAAATACACGAGTGAGAGGATGTAGAACCAATTCTTCTGAATATATATTCTCAACCAAAACAGAAGAAGTGCCATTCTATGCAGACAATGCATACTACTGGAGAGGAATGAATTAAGGGTGTTGCAATAAGCAAACCTCAATGTCAAAGAAGTGCCGTTCTTCTCCCTCAGAGCCTTTGGAATTGAACCACTTAGACTGTTCCCTGACAAATTACTGCTGACACAACACGTGAGAAAACCACAATATTTGTGGGACTGGACAGTATTATACTACAGCATTTCAACTTACAGTAGTTTCAGATTGGGTAGCTTTGCTAAAACTTCAGGTATTTCTCCTGTCAATTGATTGTTGGACAGATCCCTACGACATGAGACATATTAATCCTATGAAATTATTACCTGAGAGTAATTAAGTATTGCTTGGATAATAAATGTGATTAAAGAAATTCAAGCTGCTATTACTTGAATACTTACAGGGACTCCAGCGATGCGAGATCGGAAAATGAAGTACTTATCTCCCCAGTCAATTTGCTTGAACTCAAGTTCCTGAGAATGGAAATTTCACCATAATAAACACAAGCAAGGACAAAGAGAGATATATTGGACGTCACAACATATATATACAAACTTCTTTACAACTCCTTGAACAATATTTATTCACATATCAATAAACAGCATGAACAGCGGAATATACTAGTCTTGAAAAAAAAAATGTTGGCTATTCGGTATGAAAATATTGTTTCCTTGGGCTATCAAGTCTAATAGAAGTTTAAAAGATCAAAAGGCTACTCACAATGAAGTGACCGCTGGGATGTTGTTGATGTAATTACAAGCCAGACCTTCCCAACTATAATTGCTTGGCATGCAGGGATCTCCTAGCCAATTTCTGGTGATGTTATATGCATGTTTGACAATCCTCATAGCATCCACTGTTATTTCCGATATAAGCAGCATTTTGGAGTTTTAATACATAAAGATGATGTCAGAATCAAAGAGCCGCGTGTTAGAAGCTGATAATAATTAAAGTAAAAGAAGCTCCCATACGTTGTTTAAAATTGTTAAGGAAAAAGTAATTTTCGTTTGTTGAACACAAGGAAGTTATTGAAAGCATCGGAGAACTGTGTAGAGAACTCTCAATAATAAAAAAATTTAGGTGAATTGGGTCCCATCAATCTCAAGCATGCTTTCAGATTTAAAGAGCACTTCCAAAAGTGAGTTGTTGAGAAAACTTTATGTTAGTCATAAGGATTTTATTACGGAAAAAAATTAGTTTTTCAACGTATTATCAAAAATAAGCAAAACGCATATTTCTTTCCCACTTACCCCCAATGCTCCCAACAATTTCTTTATGTCTACCTTAACTAAAATCATTTTTTAATAATCTTGAAAGAACTGGCCCTGAATCTAGATAACAATGACTGGTTTTGGCTCTAGTTGATTTAAAACAAGAAGATAGACCATCTGAAAAGTCGCCTAATTAACATGGTCGCTCATTCTTAAGAAGTAACTAAAAGGAGAATGATAAGATAACATCAGTATATGTAATACTTACCATCCCCTTCCAGAGTAGGTGAATTCGGTTGGGGCAGTACTCTATAGATCTCAAAAGCATTGATCATGGGGGGTAAACCAGAATCTCGGGTAGATGTGATTGAAATGCTCTTAAGATATTGCCCTTTATGAATTGACTTAACTACGGTTTGCAGCGCATGGGATTTAAGAGTTATGGAGTCTTGGATAGTATCCGTGAAAGTAATTTCCATCTTTCTTTGCTGATCTTGAGAATGTTCCTCGAAGTCAAAGAAATGGAGGTAAACATAGTACTCGTAATCTGTACTGCAATCCAAGTCGATAACTAAGGAGAACGAACCGTTCTGTGATTGAATTGCAGTACCCAACACTTCTGTGGGTAATTTATAGTCACTCACATCATCATCAATCGCAACTGGTGTGGTGATTGGCTCTGAGTTTTCGATATTTGTATTGAGGAACCATGACCTACCGTAGATATCATCTGGGTATCTGCATTATTATGTGAAGAATAAAACATGGTTAGTTTATGCTGGTTGAATGAATAAGTAAGCACTGGATAACAAATTGATTGAAATATATAGTTAACCTGATGAAACCATAATTTGCTTCTTCAGACTTTCCCAGAGAGGAGCGTGCCACGAGGCCTAGCGGCAAGAAATTGGAAGTGGTTCGGTATATAGAAATCTTGAGAGGCCAGAGTTGGAGCAAGGAAATGAAGGGTGTTCCCTGGCCAGTGTTGATAAGACACACATCGATATTGTTTGTAGGAGAAACATGAATGACCTCCACTCTCACAATGTTGCCGACTCCTCTTATAACTGATTCTGTCCAGAAATTGACACCAAGATGGAACTCAAAGGAGGGAACTGAACTTTTGTTGTCGTAATTTCCATACATGTAGTAAGCTCTAACGAGAAAGTTGTTGTTTTTGCCTTGTTTGGGTTTGAGCGTGTAGCAATTCCTTTTCCCTTCTGGAAAACTTCTTAGAGTGTTGAAATTACGGAGACGGCTAATGTATTGAGAACTTACGTTATAAACACGACCCGATTCCACAACATTTCTGTCATCTGCCTCATAATAAACCCCGAGCTCGTCCCATCTTGCTTGGGTTACTCCGCAGTCAATGTTTATCCCCTCTGTTAGCATGAAATGTTACTAATTAGAATTGATATGTAAATGAAAATTTTTGTTTAAGAATTATATATGACGAATCACGATTAGTAGTTGTCAAGAATGACAAAAAGCTTCATCTCGAAGGCTCAGAGGGTAGTGTTTTGAGGGTGTATAAAATAAAGGATGAACAAAGCTTAAGTCTCAAGTCAAGTTTCGTGAGCTGAGTTTAAACAAAAAATGAAGAAAACCTGGCCAAGTGCGGTAATTACCTGAATTTCCATCAGCATCCTCTGCAACAACAATAATGAGGAGTGAAACAAACACATTCAAAGCCAGAACCGACAGTAATGTGCTCTTCCTCATGTTTTCTAGTTTGTTTGATCAGTAACCAGCAAGAGAGAAATAATGAACTAACTGGGCATAGCACGAACCATCTAGCAGAAATGTTGAGTATAAATATTGAGGAATGGAATAATGTGACACTGTAACTTCACGCGGTTTGCGCGGACCGAGTTGGGTTTGCTCGCTTTTACAGCACAAGCAGAGGCGAGGAATAATCATTCGAGTCTTCTGCAAAGAAGGTCAACGTTCACTCAATCAAATCTCCTTCTTGACTTCCAGGCAATACTCCTATTACTCTTTTATGTTTTTTTTTTTGGGAGCATTCCTAACAAACTTCTATTTTTTTGGCCATTCGTTCTTTTCAATTATTTTTGTTATTTTTAATTTTTATGTAGCTTTGCAAAAAAAAAAATCATTAAGTATATGGAAATATAAAAAATAATAATAAATATGAGTTTATTTGAATATTAATCTCTTAATTGTTGGCAAAGAAAAAGTTTTTTTAGGGGAAAAACCCCCATTGCCGGATAATTATTAAAATATCGTATATTTCATACCAGAAATTATTCTGCAATCTAGTATTATTTATTGAAATGATATCATACGTGAAATAATTGAGCTTTATTCTGGGCCAGGGTGATAATTGAGCTGCGGTGGAATATATACAAAAGAAATCATACTTTATAAAAGAAGTGGGTTACAGTGCTGAAATAAAGCAAAGGGAAAGGAAAAAAGATGGTGGCCGTGAGAGGCAAGAAATGCTATATAGTAGTATTAGTTGACTGACCAACGTTATTGACAAAATGATTGTCATGATACTTATGAACCGATCATACATATATAGGGTCGGGCTCGTTTTCCCAGGGCACTTATAATATCAACTGTTGTTGTATGCTTAATGATGAAGTTGATCTATTAATTCATTATTTAAAGGTCAAACATCTGTTATCTCTGTCAATATTATTTTATCTGTAATTTTTAAATTTTCTAATTGGTACCTTGTGGGGAGAAAACATTAATGGACTAGACAATTTGAAATAACTATCTGCAATTATATTACTGGTGCTAAGTTGCCAGGAACAATGGTGAACAAAATGAACAGATCTGGGGGGAAAAAAAAACCGGAATCCCTTGTGATGCCCTCTTCAAGTTCCGGAAGAGAAAAAGAAACCGTAAGGCATAAAAATGAGGCTTCGAAAAACACAGAATGGTGGGTTGGGTGTAAATTCAATAAACATAAACTTGAAAAACTGATGAAAGCAAATATGTCATTTTGCCTCAAAACTGAACTACACACCGTTCCTTCCAAATTAAAAACGTGTTGAATTGGAAACTAGCACTCAATGAAGCTCATTATCGTCACCTAAATCAACAATCTTCGCTTGTATCTGTTCATTTGGTAAAATGTCAGATGTTTTCATGTCTCTGTCATTTATAGGCGGATTGCGAACACTGTGTAGTTATATAGTTAAATTCACCTCCATAATGGAGGAAGAAGAAATGAAAAACGAACAAACTGATATCAGAGCATTTTGCAGAATATGATTATTCTATGAGGCTTTGTTTCCACTTCAAGACATGAGTTTTTCACCGAATTAAAAAAAGGAACAAAAGTAAAACTTCAGCATAAAGCGGTAACAATGGAGGTCAAGTTGATATATAAGGAAGATGAATCATTCAGTGCTCGAACTGCAGTTCTTAACACTTCATTTGGTAGGCTAAACTCTTTCACATCACTGTTAATTGCTTCTGATGTGGAGAATTTCTCTGAGTTATCCAACTTTCCATTGAACCAGGATCGACCATAGATATCATCTGCATTATTGTGTAAGCAAAAGACGTTAGTGAACATAACTCTCTACTTATTCCAGAACAATTTAAATGAACATATGTCATGAGAGACATACCTGATAAATTTAAGGTTTTCAGACATACTCAAGTTAACACATGTCATGAGGCCTAACGGCAGCAAACTAGAGGTAGCTCGATGTAAAGAATTTGAGAGACGCCATAGCTCTCACAAGGAAATAAAAGGCATCCCTTTACCAACGTTTACAAGACAGATATCAATGTAGTTTGTTGGGGACAGTTGAACGACTGTTTTTCGTCGAATTACATTGAACTTTTCGAACTTAATTTCTGCCCAGAAATTGACACCAAGATGTAAATGGAAGTATGGAATGGAGTTTTTGTTGTCATAGTTCCCATATGAGATGTAAGCCCTGATGAGATAGTTGTTGCGTTTGCCTTGCTTGGGTTTGAGTGTTGTAACAATTCCTTTTGCCTTCTGGGAAACTTCTCAGTGCTTATTTAATTATTTATCTCTTGTTTTTACTTTTTAGACTTTAAGATTGTTATTATTTTGAATGAATTTTAATTATTTAAACCATTTCAAAATATAAACGTTTTCTTCTCAAATAAACAATTAATTAATATCTATCCCGTTTTCTTTTTGTATTTTTTAGAATTATATTATATGATTAACTTAATTAATCTTTATAAATGATGAAGTTCCAATCTGCTTAGCTTTTAAATGTAATTTCCTCAACACACTTAATTAGGGTAGATTTTTTCCTTAAAAAACAACTTATCAGTCAGATTGACTTGACCCACAGAAATTAAAGTTTCCTGATGTGGTTTGGTGGGTTTTGAAACTTCTGTTTCTCTGTTTGTTTGTTACGGTGTGCATTTTGTGTAAGCTTGCTTTTTTGTTGTGTTATTTTGTGTAGCTCGTTGGTTTTTTATCCAACATAATGATATTTTGGCAAAAAAGTTTATTTTTCTTTCAAAAAAATCTGAATTGCCGGATAATTATAAACTGTAAGTATCATAAAAACGTAAAATATATCACATTTCATATCAGAGATTCTCCAATCTATTATTTATTTAAGTTATTTAATACGCGAAATAATTGAGCTTCTTTAATTTTTGGGGCCAGATTAATAATTGAGCTGATGTGGAATATTTATAAAAAGAAATGATACTTTATGGGAAAGCTAAGAAATGGGTTATGTTCGAATGAGTTTCCACTCACACTTTGTCAAAAGAATGAATGAAAGGAATGGTGTGGAGTGGGTAGGTGAAGTAAAGCAAAAGAAAAGAAAAAAAAAAGGATAGTTGTGAGGAGCATGAAATGTTAAATAATACTATCGTCTAATTATAAGACCTCGTTTATAGTTATAAAACCTCATTTGTAAATTACAAATGAGATCTTATAATTAAGACCGGAGGTAGTAATACATGGCTCCTTATAAGTAGGAGATGGGATGCTTGATCTCACTGTTACGAATCATACATTCATTGGGTGGGTTTTCTTAAAAGAGGGACCTTATTAGGCTTTGGGTTCCCCAGCTCCACAACTAGCTTTTGAGTTGTGGTTCTCCTAAAAACTTGTACTTATTCTAATGATGTTTCATTGAGAGCTGACTAGCCAGAGAGTGCTGCCTGCGAATGGGCTAACCTTCGTTGGCTCTTGAGAGATGCATTATTATGAGCCCCACGTTAAATGGATTTTCTTGAAAGAGAGGCTTTATATGTCTGTTTTTTGGGTTTCCCAACTTCGACACCTAGCTTCTGAAATGTGGTTCTCCCAACAACTAATGCTCGTTCGGCCGTTATTTTTTGTTTTCATAGATGAGAAAAGTATTAATTGACTGATGACTAAGTCGTAGAGACATAGACATATAAAATAAATTGATGATTATTTAGGATAAAGATCATACATTGTTTTGGTATTAATAATGGACTAATCATGCAGTAGGGTCGATCGGGCTCGTTTTTCCGGGCCCATATAATACTATTGAAGCCCAACACTTAAACAAGCCCAGTATAAACCCATAACGTAGCCTTTAGTTTCTGTAGCCTTTTTCTCTTTACACGTGTATCTCTTGTATTGGTTATCATCCTCTATATATTGAGCCAACTACTGTACACAAATATAATAGACAATATATTCTGAGATGATTTCTTTAGCATTTTCTCTCTTGTCGCTCTGTTTACATTTCTGCTCCATTATGGTATCAGAGCTAAAACGGCTCTAGCAGCCCTACAACATGTCTGGTTCACCCTCACCAAATATGTCATCCACTACCACTCCACCTCTCACACCCTCGTCTTCCACCATTACTCATCCAACCCCTCCATCCACTGTCTCTCACTACATTACCATCAAACTTACTCAGGACAACTATTTGATCTGGAAAGCTCAGATCACCTCCTACCTCTATGGTCAGCAACTCTTTGGTTATATTGATGGCTCAATCCCTTCACCACCAAAATTATCTGCCGGTCTGCCCAATAAAGATTACATTGCTTGGTTCCAACAGGACCAACTTGTTCTTTCCATTCTGCTTGCCTCCTTATCAGAAAAAATTATCCCTCAGTTTATCAGACACAGAACCTCTCGAGCAATGTGGGTAGCATTAGAAACATCCTTTTCACAACAAACCCAAGCTCGTCTTATCTATCTGCACCAGTAGATCACCAATATAAAAAAAGGAGGAGAATCAGTCAATGAGTACTACAAACGAGCCACTATTCTTGCTGACTCCCTAGCTGCAGCTGGGAAGCCCGTTGCAGACGACGATTTCATCACTTATCTCCTGGCTGGACTAGGATCAGAGTTTGATGTTATAGTGACTGTTCTAGCCACTCAACGCTCCTCTCTCACTGTTGAAGGAATATTGAGTCATCTTTTAACCTTTGAAGAGCGTCTAAATCAACAAAACTCTGTTTTACTTTCAACTGAAATTAATGCTAATGCTGTTGGGAGATTTCCAAGTGCGTTCTCTTTCCGTGGAGGCAGAGGCGGTCGCTCTTTTAGCTCTGGACGTGGTTTCACTAGTTTTGGCCGTGGTCCCTTCTTTAACAGCCGTGGTCGTATGCGTGGTGGTCCCCACCGGGGACGTGGCCCTGGACGTGCATATCGTGGAAGAGGACGTTACTCCACTTTTCAGCCTCCTTTTTCCACTTTTCAGCCTGACGAAGAGATTCCCTGTCAACTGTGTGACAGTTTTGGCCACACTGCCTTGACCTGCGTCCAAAGGAACAATAATGCTTTGCAGGCACCTCCTCCTCCTTCTCTTGC